CCTACCATGGAGCACTGACCAAAGCTCCCTGACCAGAACCACCACACACCTCTCGGTATTCACAAAAGTGCAGACATTTCACTAAGCAATAGGGGCATAGTTGAAAGATAAAAGCCATCAGAGGAAAAAAAAAAAATCAAATCTACAAATGCCTAAAAACAAATGCAGAAAGTGAAAAAACAAGATAAGGAAGACACCATGACCCTTTGAAAGGAACACAAAACATTTAAATATTAGAATGTGAAAATGAAGAGATTCAGGAAATGTCAGAAATAGAATTCAACAAATTAATATAGGATTACTGAAAAGCAATCAGAAGCAAATCCATGAACTAAAGAAAACCATACGTGACATGAATGAAAACTATTCTCAAGAAAAACAGATTTTAAAGAGAATCAAAATGAAATATTAGAAATAAAAATTCAATAGATCAAATAAAAATGTGGAGGAAATCTTAACAGCAGATTTGGAGAGGCAGAAGAAAGAATATCCAAAATGGAAGACAAATTTTTGGAAATGTTACAGTCAGACAAAACAGAAACAAAAACAAAAACAAACAAACAAACAAAAAAAAACAAGAGGAAAACAGAAAACTAAAAAACAGTTTTGGAGATTTAGGAGATACCATCAAATGACCCATTATACAGGTCTTTTAAAGAAGAATTAATTCCAATTCTTCTCAAGCTATTCAAAACAATTGAAAGGGAGGGAATCATCCCAAGTTACTTCTATGAAGCCTGCATCATCTTAATTCCTAAGCCAGAAAAAGATACAACACGAAAAGAAAATTATATCCCTGATGAACATAGATGCAAAAGTCCTCAACAAAATATTAGCTAACTGAATCCAACAACAAAAAAGAAAGATCATTCACCTCTCCAAGTAGGATTTATGATTCAGCATTGTAAATTAATCAATGTGGCACATCACATTAACAAACACAAAAACAAAAACCATATGGTTATCTCAATAGATGCAGAGAAAGCATGTGATAAAATACAACATCCTTTCACAATGAAAACTTTAAACCAATTGCGTATAGAAAGAACATTCCTCAACACAATCAAGGCAGTTTAAAACAAACCTGTGGACAGATTCCTATTGAATGGGGGAAAAGCTGGAAGCATTCTCCCTGAGATCCAGAACCAGACAAGGATGCTCATCATCAACATTACTATTTAATATATTCTAAAGTTTTAATCAGAGCCATTAGGCAAGAAAAATATCAAAGGGATATGGATTGGAAAGGTAGAAATCAAACTACCCCTATTGTATTCGACATGATCCTATATACAGAGGATCCTTAAGACTCCACTGAAAGAGATTATTGGAACTCATAAAAGTGTTTTGTAAAGTGGCAGGATATAAAATGAACACAGAAAAATCAACAGTCTTTGTAAATACAATGTTATGGCTGAAAAAGAACTTTTAATATCAGTCACATTCAAAATAGCTCCAAAAATAACTACATACATTGGGATAAATTAAACCAAGGATGTCAAAGATCTCTACAATGAAAATTATAAAACACTAAAGAAAGAAATAGAATGAGACATTAAAAGATGGAAAAATCTTCCATGTCATGGATTTAAAGTATCAGTAGCATCATCAAAAACCAATTAAAATAACAATGACATTCTAGAAAAAAATAATGCTAAAATTAATATGGAAACACAAGAGACCCTGAATAGTTAAAGCACTCTCTTATAAACAAAAATAAATCCCGGAGACATCACAAAACTGGATTTCAAGACATACTACAGGGCCTGGTACTACACAAAAACAGAATTGCAGACCAAGGGAACAGAATAGAAACTCCAGAGATAAATCCACACATCTACAACCAACTTATCATGACAAAGGAGCTAAAATCAATATCTGGAACAAGGATAGTCTCTTTAATCAATTGTGCTGGGGAAACCGGGTCTCCACATGCACTAGACCCATGCCCTTATAATTTACACAAAAATCTACACAAAATGGATCAAAGTCCTAAATCGCTGACCCATCAAATTACTAGAAAACACTGGAGAAACTCTGCAAGACATTGGCATTTGCAAAGATTTCTTGGAAAAAATCCAAAAACCACTGGCAATCAAAGCCAAAATTGACAAAAGGGATTACATCAAGCTGAGAAGCTTCTGTACTGCAAAAGAAACACCCAGCAAAGTGAAGAAACAACTGACAGAGTGGGAGAAAATTTTTGCAAAGTACACAACCGATAAAGGATTAACATCTGGAATCTACAAAGAGCTCAAGAAATCCAGTAACAGTAAACAAACAATCTAGTTAAGAAATAGGCAAAGGACTAGAACAGGTATTTGTCAAGATAGGAAATTCAAATGGCCAACAGACACTTGAGAAAATGCTCTGGATCACTAGACATAAGGGAAATGTACCAAAACCATGGTGAGCTTTCACCTCTCTCCTGGTAGAATGGTTCTCATACAAAAATCAACAAAATGACAAATGTTGGCGAGTATGTGGGGACAAAGGTATCCCGGCCCACTGTTGGTGGGAATGTAAACGGGTACAACCACTGTGCAAGACAGTATGGAGACCTGAATATAGAACTACAATGTGATTCAGCCATCCAACCCCTGGGAATTAACACACACTAAAAGAAATCAGCATCGAAAAGTTATTTGTGCTCCCATGTTTATTGCAGCACAATTCATAATAGTGGAGATATGAAATCAACCGAGATATCCATAATCTGTTGACTGGATAAAGAAAATATGGGAATATATACACTATGGAGTATTACTCAGCTATAAAAAATGAAATATTGTCTTTTGCAACAAAATAGACGCAACTGGAAGCCATTATACTTAAAGAAAGAAGCCAGTCCTAAAAGTAGATATATAGTTTCCTTATCCAAGGTAACTAATAGAGTATCTGAAATGCAGTGTATTGGGCTGGCGCCGCGGCTCACTAGGATAATCCTCTGCCTTGCGGCACCGGCACACCGGGTTCTAGTCCTGGTTGGGGCACTGGATTCTGTCCCGGTTGCCCCTCTTCCAGGCAAGCTCTCTGCTGTGGCCAGGGAGTGCAGTGGAGGATGGCCCAAATGCTTGGGTCCTGCACCCCATGGGAGACCAGGAGAAGTACCTGGCTCCTGCCATCGGATCAGCGTGGTGTGCTGGCCGCAGCAGTGGCTGCGGCGGCCATTGGAGGGTGAACCAACGGCAAAAGGAAGACCTTTCTCTCTGTCTCTCTCTCTCACTGTCCACTCTGCCTGTCAAAAAAATAAATAAATAAAAAAATAAAAATGAAATGCAGTGTATTGGAGTGAAACAGACATTTTGAGATTCACTGATTGTTCACAGTCTTTGTCTCTTCTATTGAGAAATATTATTTTTCTTTTCTTTTTCTTTTTTTTTTTTAATTTTTGACAGGCAGAGTGGACAGTGAGAGAGAGAAAGGTCTTCCTTTGCCGTTGGTTCACCCTCCAATGGCCGCCGCGGCCAGCGCACTGCGGCCTGCGCACCGCGCTGATCCTATGGCAGGAGCCAGGTATTTCTCCTGGTCTCCCATGGGGTGCAGGGCCCAAGCACTTGGGCCATCCTCCACTGCACTCCCGGGCCACAGCAGAGAGCTGGCCTGGAAGAGGGGCAACCGGGACAGAATCCGGCGCCCCGACCGGGACTAGAACCAGGTGTGCCGGCGCCACAAGGCGGAGGATTAGCCTAGTGAGCCGCGGTGCCTTCTTTTTCTTCATACTATTTACTGGAATCTTTTACTGAGTGTAGAGTTAACTATATGATCATTACTTAAATTGAAAATAGACTACTATAAAAATTAAGAGTGGGAATGTGAGAAGGAGGAAGAGGTTGTAGCATTGGTGGGAGGGAGGATGGGGGTGGGGGAATGTCACTAAGTTCCTACATCTGAATATATATGAAATACATGAAATTTGTTTAACTTAAATAAAATTTTTAAAAAAGGAATCATCAGGAAGACACACACACAGGCAAAAATTCTGACTAACAGTAGAATACTAGTTCCACTGATTGGAGGAAAAACCAGTACATACTCTTTTGCCATTTATTTCTTCCTGTTTATGTGACCAAAATTTGACATTATGGTAAAATGTATAAATTGCAAAAATCTTCCTCTGGAATCCTATATAACTATTTCAAGAATTCAATATTGAATATATTTTGTGATGTTCTGACTTTATCTTCCTTGGCACAAACATGTATGCACACATGTGCATAGACACACAAATATACAATTAAAAGTGTTTAATAAACATTTTCATCTAACTTCTTATAGACAATCCTTAGCCTGTCTTAGGTTCTATGTGATTTTACTGCACCTGTCATAGAAACAAACTGAGAAGCATTAATATTGCTGATAGTTTAGACAGTTTCCCTTAGTTGACGATCTTAACAAAACAGAAAAATAACAAGTAAATTAAATAGAAACATTGATAAAATAAAGGATATACCTACTTCTAATATAATCTCTAGGAGGTCATTAACTAGAATTTTTAAAAATAAATTGTATCTGTTAATAAAAACCAAGTGTGTATTTCCAAAATGCATATAAAACAATTCTCTTCCTCTATAGAATACTGTTACAATTTCTAGTTATTTTTATAGTATAATTTAACCACCAAGAGATTTTTCTATTAAAGCAACAATAAAAATACCATTCATAGTTCTCTTTTTACATACAGAATTTCACTACCTAGCAAAAATTACAAGTTTATAATTTAACAATTTTTAAACTTCTTTTTCATTATCATGCTATTTCATGAAATATACTTTTGTGGTCATTAATCTTTCATTCAGCTACCAGAAGGTAAGATATCAAGTATTTGAGAAAATGTCATATCTATATCTTCAAACAGAAGTAGTCAAAAAAGTATTCAGGTAGAAAAATGAATATAAATTATTACAGAGTCCTCTACAAATAAAATAATAACCCAAAGAATTTAAATATGTTCCTTAAAATTACAAACCTTCATTTAAAAACAAACTAAAAAGCCTTACAGAAACATGTAGTCTTGGCAACCAGAGGAAAGCAGAGGTCAGAATCCTGGAGAACTGCTGAAGAAATTGGAATGTTTTCTCTTTGTCACCCAACATGATCATGAACAGAGAAGACACAAACCAGTCATGGCCAGCATAATTCCCTTGCAGGCAGACTAAACCACACAGTTAAGGAGCTTTTAAATATACTAACTTATAAGAATAAATATAAGAACTCTAAAAATATCTATTTCCAAGATCTCCAATAAGAAAGAGATATAATGGTATATATTCCTTCTTGTGTATTCAATCAGTTATTAAGATATTGAAGTAAAATTGAGCTGTAATAGTAAAAAAGCAAATCATTTCCTTAATTACTATTTTAATATACTATTTTCTAACTGTGGGAACTGATGGCAATAGTAACTGAAGAAAAAATTACTCACTTTGTGAAAATTCACTTGTTCAAATCATTAAGAGTACCATCCTAACTTTAGTTGTGATTATTTGCTAAATGACTACCATAAGCAAGTATAAAATCCACACATTTTTAGAATTCAGTAATGCAAATAGTTTTTATACACGGTGTTCCTTCAAGTCAAACCCAATTTGATAACCAATCAAATGAAATAATAAATAGATGTGGTATATGAAAAATAGGCAGCAGTCTAATTCTGGGTCTAGGAAACTGATGTCTAAAATGCTCTTAAACATGTCTGAAAATACACTGTAAAGACTTTAGTTACTAAGGTTAAGGCTTATTGAGTAAGTGAATCTAATGATTATGAGTTAATTTAACAAAATGCATATTCAAAATACAAAGTAATTCACCATAAAGATATATCTTAACAAATTACTAATATAGTTAAATTTTATTATATTAGAAACATAATATGATATCCCAATATGAAGATTTATATGAATAAAATTCAACTGTTGTAAATCCACTCAGAAAAGGATATGAAGAGAAGAGTTTGCAGGAGCTTGCTGCTGTTTCAGCAATCTCTGACTGTGCTTTAACACCCAAGTAAGATCATTTTCTGCACCATCTTTTAACAGGTTGAGGAATTTGCCATACCTACATTAACAATCCATAAAACATAAAATTAAACACATCAGGCCCTGCATTGAACATTTTTTTAAAGACTGATTGATTTGAAAGATTGATGGTGGGAGGATTTTTCATTTGTTGGTTTACTCTCCAAATGGCTACAAAAGCTAGATCATGGCTAGGCTGAAGCCAGAAGCCAGGAACTCTATCCTAGTCTCCACACACTCGGCAGGGGCCGAAGTACTTGGGCCATTTTCCAATGTATTTCCAAGTGCATTAGGAGGGAGCTGGATCAGAAGCAGAGAAGCCACCAGGACTAGAATAGGTACCTGGATATGGGATTTGTCTGTACAACGATGGCCCCTTAAAGAGTTGTTTTTTTTTTTTTTAATAAAAATACAAGTGAATTCCTTTTTAAATCTCAAGCTTTTAAGATTATAAATTTCTACTTTTAGCTTAACTATTTTATGTTTAAAATTTTGGACAGATGAACTCTCAATATATCTTACTAACAATTATGATATATTTGCCTTGGCAATTTTTAATTGTTATCGGTGGAGGATAGTATTGAGACTTTAGTGAACAAAGGCCAGGATTTCAACACAAGACGGAGTCCTGCACAATATTAACAACTTTCAAATGTCCTGTTATTTGTAAGGATGAACAAACTATTTATAAGCATCTGAAACTAATTCTGCTTTTTGTAAACTTGCATATATATTAAAATACACTGAATGCAATTATGCATAAATTTTACTAAGATTTGGTCACCATTTTGCAAAGTCTCTTTGCCATTGGCAACATCCTTTTTGGAATTTGAGTAATGAAAACAAAATCAGTCTGTATTTACAACAGTCATAACAGTTCTACACACAGACGCCAACTAAATTTTAAACTGAAGTGTATCCAAACGTTTCATCATAAATCACTTTCCATTTATTTATTAAAATATTAGAGGCTGGTGTTGTGGTGCAAAGGGTTAAGCTGCTATTGACAAAACGAGCATCCCATATCAAAGTACCAGTTGCTCTGCTTTCAATCCAGATCCCTGCTCATGCACCTGAGAAAGCTGTGGATGGTAAAGTTCTTGGGCCTTGAGGAAGCTCCAGGTCCCTGGCTTCAGCTTGGCCCAGGCCAACATATTGCAGCCATTTGGGGAGGGAACCTATAGATGGAGGACCTCTTTTTCTCTCTCTCCTCCTCCTTTCTATCACTAAGCCTTTCAAATAAAATAAATAAACCCGTATAAAATATTATAAATTATAAAAAATGCCACTCTTTTGCTTATATTATCTACAGTTTCCATTTCAGAATAGAAATTAGGAATTACAAAATGCAAAAAAGTGAGCATATGCTCTATGTGATACAAGTGGGAGAGCTTGCGTTAACATCACTTTCATCATGCTATGGATATATAAGAACACTCAGCCATTTTCATGTCTCTCACAGGTGTTTTTTTAATACTTGATTCTGAAAATGACCCTGTAAGTAAAATAGGACCCTTAAAGCCCCATTTACTAAGAGGGATGTTTCAATAACTCAACCCTTAATTGCCAGAGTTTATCATGTAGCTTGCACATTTCTTTTAAGAATTACATGAGTACAAAGAATTCTACCCACAAAAATGTTGGCTCATTTATTTTTAACTTCTTTATATATCCTTAAGGTACTTTTGTACTCAACACCATAGCTTGACAATCAGAACTAATCATATTTTAGAAAATGGTATGATTGTGCTACCAATGTGCTGATTTTTACAATATTATTTTTGGAAAAAAATGATAGTCATAGAGGCCTACACAGATTGTAGCCTCTGGAATACCAATGAACTGTAAAAGATTTCACTGCAGAGGAAATTTAATAATGTGCCAATATCCTAAAAACCCTCATCATTTTCTGAATGATAAACTCTGAATTTGAAGTATACAAAAATAGCAGGTTGTTAAATTAAATATTGTTAAGCATATATAAGGCAGATCAAACAAATTCTAGAAATGCACAAGGGATATATTTCCTCATAATATACCTGATAGTCATTTTAATGCCAAGCTGCTGCACAGATGAAAGATTCTCACTCCTCACACTGGCATCAGTAACTAAAAACAATAGAAACTGAGTTATAAAATGGAGAAGAGTTTGCATACTAATCAAATTTTAATTGAAAATTGATGAAACCAATATTTTACGTATTTTAATGTATATTTCAAAAACAGACAAATGCGTTCTTTTAAGAGGTGTCATTTATATTTTCAGATATTACAGGGAAATTTTTTATAAATAACTTTTCTCCTAGAAAAAGCACTTAAGAAGATTAAATATAAAATGGCTAATGATAGTTTTATAGCAATCTATTTTATTTAGCTGTAAACAAACAAGAACAAATAAAACACAAAGAAGCTGTTAACATGAAAATGATCTAGAAATACTTTACTTTCCCCATGCAATGCATACTATAATTTTTAATTGCAAATATATGGAAGCATGGATGTTTCTTCTTTCACGATAGTCATGTTTACATTTTAAGAAACCAATATTCTACTTTTAATGTAGGATAATACATGAGGGTGAGTGAGTGAATTTCCTACTGCAGGCTAGGTTTTCTTTGTGAAGCAGGAGTTTGTGATCATCAACCAAAAGTGAAGAAGGAGTTCCATAGTACAGAGGACCTCAGGAAAGGCCGAAAGTTTGGATTAGGTCATGTAAACACTGGGTGGCCAAGTTAACAAAACATTTAAAAGCATCATCACATAGTTCAGAGTCTAACTGAAACTTCTAATTTTTGGCTGAAGAAACAGTAAAATGAGCACACACACACACACAATTAAGGGACATAAATCACATAGCCATCTAGTGGTACAGGGAACCAAAAGTTGTTTTCTGAATCCTGTACTACAGAAGTTTCTTTCCCCTCATTACACACTGGTGTATCTCATGCTATCAGTATAATCTATTTTACTTGTGGACTTATTCGTTCCTTTTAATAGATCCCTTCTGAGATAATCCATGTGGAAAACTCAGCAAGTGGCTATGGGGATGAAAGATAAATCATGTATCTACCCTAAAAGAACTTTCCATGTAGTGTCAGAGATAAAATGCATACACAGATAACTGTGATGGAGGTGTGTTAAAAGCCCTAAGTGGAATAAGGATGGGACAGATAAAGTGCTATGTGCATTCAGAAGAGGAAGAGATTATTTCCAGTTGGTTAGGGAGAAGTGCCATTTCAGCTGAACTTCAAAATATGGGTCGACTTTAGATCTACAGAGATAGAGAAGAATAAATTAAACATCACTGTTATCAGCTATCTACTCTTTAGACCAGCAATGATTAAACTTTCAGTACTCTGAAGAGTCCAGCTAAACAGCTCATCTCAGTTTCCCTATGGTTTCATGGTTTTAGCACAGAAAATCCCATTTTTCAGGAAACAGTCATAGTCCACAGGACATCATACTGGATGGACACCTTACTTAAAGTGGTAATTTCTTCTTAAAGAAAACTAAAATAAAACAAGGCTAAGCTTAAAAAAAAAATAAAAAATGGGGGAGGGGGGTGCTATTTGGTGTAGGGTTTAAGTCTTGCTTAGGAAGCCCATATCTCTTCTCTGAGTGCCTGGTTTGAACCCAGCTACTGTGCTTCGGATTCAGCTCCTTGTTACTGTGCACTCTTTTTTATTTTTATTTATTTTTATTTTTTGACAGGCAGAGTGGATAGTGAGAGAGAGAGAGACAGAGAGAAAGGTCTTCCTTTGCCGTTGGTTCACCCTCCAATGGCCGCTGCGGCCCGCGCACTGTGGCCGGCGCACCGCGCTGATCCGAAGGCAGGAGCCAGGTACTTATCCTGGTCTCCCATGGGGTGCAGGGTCCAAGCACTTGGGCCATCCTCCACTGCACTCCCTGGTCACAGCAGAGAGCTGGCCTGGAAGAGGGGCAACTGGGACAGAATCCGGCGCCCTGACAGGGACTAGAACTCGGTGTGCCAGCGCCGCAAGGCGGAGGATTAGCCTAGTGAGCCGCGGTGGCGGCCGTTACTGTGCACTCTTGGAGGTGCAGTTGAAAGCTCAGGATTTCTATCTCTGCCACCCATAAGGGAGATCTGGATTGAGTTCCTGGCTACTGGCTTCATCTTAACCCAACTCTGTTGGGGGCATTCGGGGAAAGAACTAGCAGATGGAAGCTCTGTATTTCTCTTTCCCACTGCCTTTCAAATAAAATAAAAAACAAAAATTTTAAATTGTTTTTAAAAATTAACTTACAAAAGGACTTGGTTAGCTCTATAATAAACCATATCTAAATATCTAAACCATATCTAAATAAGTCTTACTTATTTAGACTGGAATGCAATCTTAGCAGTATTGTTAAATCTTGCCTTAAAGAAGAGCAGCTAAGCTACAGTTTACCTTGTTATTTATCATTCTTACTATGCCACTATGTAAATCGTTTATGCTTACAGGGAAAGAATACCAGTTCTTCACTTCTAGTAAAAGATCTTCATCCTAAAGCAACCACTTAATAAGCAAGGGAAGATATTCAACATCTCCAAATTTTCTAAACCTAACTGTGGATGGAATTTTCTTCATTCTGTTAATCATGGGGCTATGAGGTGACTTAGGTTCCCAGTAGAAATTCATCTATCATATAGAAGAGCCAAAGAGAGAGACAGATTGTTAAGGATAGCTTTACCCTATTTTATAAGTCAATGGTTCTCATTTTCCTATATAAAAAAAGAAAATTTCATTTGAGATTCCAACACTTGAAATTAGAAACAAATATATCATACATTATCCTCATGGTCACAGATCTGTGCAGTTTATTTGTGCACTAAAGTTGAGATCCACAATAAAGGAATAAAAGTAAAATTTAAATATAGGTATAATTGGATAATGATATTCCACTACATAAATTTCATTTTAATGGAGACTCCAGATAAATTCTCAAAAAATCTTTCACATTAAGATATATGGGGCCGGCGCTGTGGCTCAATAGGCTGATCCTCCACCTTGCAGCGCCAGCACACCGGGTTCTGGTTCTGGTCAGGGTGCCGGATTCTGTCCCGGTTGCCCCTCTTCCAGGCCAGCTCTCTGCTGTGGCCCAGGAGTGCAGTGGAGGATGGTCCAAGTGCTTGGGCCCTGCACCCACATGGGAGACCAGGAGAAGCACCTGGCTCCTGCCATCGGATCAGCGCGATGCGCCGGCCGCAGTGTGCTGGCCGCGGCGGCCATTGGAGGGTGAATCAGCGGCAAATGGAAGACCTTTCTCTCTGTCTCTCTCTCTCTCACTGTCCACTCTGCCTGTCAAAAATAAAAATAATAATAATAAAAAGATATATGGAAGGCTGGTGCCGCGGCTCACTAGGCTAATCCTCTGCCTGCGGAGCCAGCACATTGGGTTCTAGTCCTGGTCGGGTGCCGGATTCTGTCCCAGTCACTCCTCTTCCACGCCAGCTGTCTGCTGTGGCCAGGGAGTGCAGTGGAGGATGGCCCAAGTGCTTGGGCCCTGCACCCCATGGGAGACCAGGAGAAGCACCTGGCTCCTGCCATCCCATCGGATCAGCTCGGTGCGCCGGCCACAGCGTGCTGGCTGCGGTGGCCATTGGAGGGTGAACCAATAGCAAAAGGAAGACCTTCCTCTCTCTCTCTCACTGTCCACTCTGCCTGTCAAAAAAAAAAAAAAAAAAAAAGAATAAATAAGTTGACAGAATTTTCTGAATATGGACTGAAATCACTCACTGTAGTAATACATTCTGCTCTATTTTTGGTTTGCAAAGCTAGCAAACAGAGGAGCACTAGAGAAGTTAAATCTATTTTCCCCAACACTTGGATAATAGAGTGGAAAAAAAAATTCAGAAGAGTAAAGAATTTCTCCACTGTGGGACAAATCCATGGCTGGAGAAACAGTTACTGCCTGGCTGCTTACTAACTCTCTTGAAGCCCTGTCTATATCTGTCATAAAGACAGAGAACTCTTACCACCCAAAGAAATCAACAGTCAGTGTATTTCCTACCCAACTCTTTCTTCCCTAAAGTCAGTATGCAGATTCTGTTGCTTATTTTCAACGTGGTTTATCCACCTATTTTATTCAATTCTTACTGACCTAAGATTCAACGGTATGTGACCAAGCTATTGGAAGTACCTCAGCCTCCTAACCAGTGCACTCAGTGTTATCTGGAATGAAGCATTATTCTCTCCATGTCTTCATAATGCAATTACCCTTGCCCGGAAGACTCTTCCCCTCTTCTGTTTCTTTCAGTTCTAATGCCCTGGGAGGCAATGCAAGTAGGAATATTCCTGTTCTATTATTGTTTCCTCTTAGTTTCCATGATGGCACCAGCAACACTGATGTTCCATTTTACTAGATATTTTTGGCAATTACAATGGAACACCTATTAATAATAACTTAATTCATATAGCACATTTAAAGACGCTGGCACATTGCCTCAAATGAAGTGGTCAACTGAAAAATGTCAGTTTTTCTTCATTTCCTAATTTTATACTTTACAATATACAAGTTGTTTTATGCAATTTATACTTTACTATATGTAGTTTACTTAATTCTGTTTTAGATATATGCTTATTTCTTCTCCTTGACAGCAGGTTCATATTAGATATCTTCTTGCAAGTATCAACATTGTGCTTTATTATAAACATTTTCACTTTCCATAAATGAAAGATAAAAAAGAAAGGATCATATTTACTTAGTATTCAGAGAACGTATAAAAGTATAAAAGGTACTTACATGCATACATTAAATTTAAAAACAGTCAAAAAGTGAAACACTGCAAAACTGTCTGACATTTTCCCTGAACTTTTGATTAACTAGCATCATAAAGAGAAAGAGAAAAAGCAAAAATATTTACTACCCAGAAAAGCCAACTTAATTGATTAAAGAATCAATTACAGTAGTGAAAAATCCCTAACTCATTTCAGGGAATTGAACCAACAAAAAAGATAACATCTGATAAGATTTGGAAAGATACCTGTATGGATTTACAAATTGAAGCTATGCAGAATGTTGTCTGTTCATTCCTCTTTCTTTAAGGGGATAAGCAGCCAAACTAATTTGATTTTTCTAGATTTGCAAATTTTATAATGCATAAAATT